TGTACTTCAGTAGTAACTGACTTATTACTAAGTATTTGTGCCCCATCAAGTGAAGTATTACCGAATATTTAAATATCCACATTTTCATCCATCCATAATTGTTTATCCAGTACAGGGTCACGGTGAAACCAAAGTCTATCACAGGAAGCAGAGGGAACGCCCAAGGCAGGATGTCAGTCCATCACAGCCCCCCAACCATGATAAGAAGTTGAAAGATGGATGTATATACAGCAAAATCCTTATAAGAAAATAACTTAAAAGTGACCAAACTTAATAAAGTATTAATAGCTAGGGATTGACACAACTGCAATTGCTAGTCATAACAGTGCAAATTCATATACTTATTTTGTGTATTTGTGCTGTTATGACAAGAAATTACAGTACATTTTAACCTTCATAAGGTGAATGTGTGCTTGTCTACCAGTTATATCACTCCCTGTTAATAACCTTAAAATATATACTTCAGTATTGTTCATGTGTGGAAAATGTTTGACTTAGCTAATTGAATTTCAATGTTCAAAACAATTGGCCATTAATATAAAGTACATAACATTATTTAATGTTGTAATGTTAGTTACGCTGATAAAAATTACTTTTTAATAAGACAGTCAAAAACATAGAAGGACTGCATTTAGTTGAGTACCTGTTGCATTGTCTCCAGGAATACCTTCTTGCTTAATCGGCATCACTGTCTCGGGGTCTTTATTGAATGTGATATCATCTCTCTGAACAAAAGCTGTGTTCATTATTATATAATCATTTTCGGGAAAACTTCTGGAAGCATTAATAGAAAATTCACGCTGCATCTTCTCAACAAATGTGTCCTTTTTCTCTAATCTGTCTGATCTCCTCTTGTTCTCCTCTTTCTTCCTCTTTGTGGGCATTTTGTGATGGAGCTGACAAGACAGAGGCGGAGACTGCAAAACCTGAGGTGGTGAAAGTATCTGCAAATGTGAATTTAGTTTTTTTCTTTTTGCTTCAGAACCAGGGGTAATGATGCCATTTAAAATATTTTAATATTTAGTTATGATAATAGTAAATAAAATTTCTTGTCACGCCCTGCATTCCTTTCCCCTTGTTCACTCCATTGTGTGGTTCTACTTGTCTAATCTTGCCTCTCGTGACAGCCCTTGTGTAGATCACCACTGGTGCCTCTCGTCTGCTCCCTCGTTAGTGATGTATATAATTCCTCCATGTCTTCTGCTCCCCAGTCCAGTCACTGATGTTGCTGCTTGCTTGTGCTCCCCAGTTTGCTCTACATCCTGTGTTATCTCCTGATTCTCCCAACCCCATTTTGACCCCTCGTGGTCCATTTACTTTTGCCTTGTTTGTAGTTTATTTGTATAAACTACAAATAATATGTAATAATATGCGGAGTTATTCTTTAAAAAAAAAAAGGTTCAAAAACAGAGCTGTGCAGGAAAAATACAACATAAAAAGTCAAACTGGGCACATCTGTAGACCCTGCAGTAGTGCAGGAGGCTCCGGAGCCTCCAGCGTCTGCCCACGAGGATGTGATCGGCCTCCTTAGCCGCACCACCAGTGTTGCACTACCAAGTCCAACGATGCAACTCAGGGTGTTGGAACCAGGACCCAGTGACCCACAGCCCCTGACATTTTGCAAAGTCAAGGAACATGGAGCCACTTTCACCCCAATCTCCAGACCCATGGGGACGAACACAATCCTCTTAGCCAGCCCTGTCAGTGCCAGTGCTCACACTTAAGTCACCCATGACCAGAGGAATGTCACCTCATGGGCACCCTTCAACCACCGAGCAAAGTAGCAAGTTAAATGTCTCCCTCAACGAGACATTACTCACCACGGTCGGAGCATGCACTGAGACAACAGACAGGACACCCAAGGAGTGCCTGAGCCTGAGTCTAATGATACGATCACTGAAGGAAGTGACATCAGACACCATCGGAAGGAGCCGATCCGCTACAGCAACAGCTACTCCCTGATTATGGCAGCCATCAGACCGACCAGACCAAAAGTAGGTCTCCCCACCTACAGAGATCTGGCCACTCCCCGGTCTGCGTACCTCAGAGAGTGCTGCCAACGAAATGCGGGGTTTATGAAGCTCCCCTGACAGCAGAGGAAGATGGTCATCTTGCTGGAGAGACAAGACGTTCCACGTGCCGACCCGAATGGGTCACCTCAAACTGGAACCTGAGTGCCGCCATGCAGCGGGTGACGCCTCAGCACCACACCAGCCGGATCCCCAACAGGTTTAACGTCATACCCAGTAGTGATGCGCGGGTCGTCTCGTAACCAGCGGACCCCGCGGGTAACCCGCGGGTCGGGTTGGGGCGGATAAAGAAATTGTCACTTTATTTGCGGGCCGGGTTGGGGCGGGTCATTAAAAACTAAATTAAATTAAAAATCCATGTATGTTGCGTGCAATTCCCTATAGCCTATATTAAATATTTGGGAATATCTATTTTCATATTTTATTAAGTTCTTTGATAAGGTTACGTCACGTGACAAGTCATGAAAGCGCCAAGCAGTAGTGATGCGCGGGTCGTCTCGTAACCCGCGGACCCCGCGGGTAACCCACCAATTTGCAACGCTTATCAACAATGTATTTTCGTTTGTCTATTTTAGAGGGCCTACATTCTTTGATCCTCTGCCTACAAGGGCCCCTGACCCTATAGGGCCTCTAATGGAAACATGGAGGGAGGGCGTTTGGCTGGCAAGGGCCCTTGAATTGTGGTGGTTGTGGTGGGGGCACACAACCCATAATCCGTCCCTGGGCTAACCTGGCTAGCTGCACTGGAATGCGGTTCCCAGCATTGGTAAATGGAACACAACATGTAGTTTTTCTGCCTGATACTAGGTCCTGCCTGTATTTTTGATGTTGTCTATCTAGGTATTTCTACTTTCTCTGCTTCTCTGCAGCACTTAATGGTGGATTGGCTATTTGTAAATGTTTTCACAATGTTAAATTGGTTTTTAATGCCATCACCTTCAGTAAATTGGTTACTACACCCTAACTTCTCACTCTTCTTACTATATTTCAGTCCTGTTACTCTTTATATGAGTTTTTAGCATAAAATTAGCAAATACTGTTTTGGCACGTTCTGCTGAGCTGCTCAGTGATTTTTAGCTCTTGCTAGCTGAGTTCTGGTTAAATGCTAAAGGCCTTGTGAGTGTAGCCTGTGATGATACACTATGGGTTCATACAGACCATAAGAAGCGTGTGAAAGATGTGTTACCCCATCTGGCCTGCTGTATGTGTAACCATGACCCCCTTCCTCTCTGAGCTGGACAAGAATTCAAGTTTATTTGTGAGGGTCAGATTCCTTTTAAGTATGATCCGTCATTTAGGGTGTCCAGCTGCATACCTATCTGGACACCATATGTAATGAAGAAGCACCCCTCCCCACCCTGGAAAAATCATTCGAGGGGGGGACACCTTACAGTTTCACTTTCCTTAAAAGTGCTCTGAAAACTCTCTACTGACCTATTTATAACTTTAATTTAGAAGATTAGTTTATATACAGACTCATACCTAACAGCCTTGTTTTATTTCGTAGCTGTGTAGTGTTTTAATGAATTAAATCGTCCATCGTTGTGAAATAAAACAGTGGAAACTTTAATAAATAAAGTCGACCACATTGTGAGTTTCTGGTGTATGTGCTGCTGCCACATAGTGGACAATTTGGAAGGTGCAATTCTCTCACTAACCAAGCAAGTTTTAAAGCGACTTTACTATGCTTTAGAAATTCTAGCTGAGTCTACCAAAGTGGTTCCCAGGTTGGCTCACTGCCAGATACCTCACAAAAAACCCAACACCAATGTCTTACTCCTAGCTGAACCAGGAATGCTGTAACCAATATGTGGAAAGGAAGTTTGTGAGGTTTGCCAATGACTTGATCTTCAGATGTTCATTCACAATTCTAGGCACCATACAGAGAGATAGCTTCATATTATTGGTTATTAATTTAATGAATTCATCACAATTTCAGCTGTTTTACACCGTATATACTCAGCATGGAAATGTATCAATTTGACACACTGACCAACATCAAATGGCAAAAACAATAAAAATAAACATTGAGGGAAAAAAACACACCTTTTTGGCCCAATCAGCAAGTTCAATCACAACTTAGAAATCCCAAATTGTTCAAGGATGGATGAGGATTCATTAGAAACTATATATGTCCACTAGGGGGCAGCAACCCTCTACGAGTCCCTTTGCGTTATTTCTCTGTCCTGCTGATTGCTGAACAGATTGAACGAACGGTGCAGGCAACCAGACCAGTGGCTCCCTATCCATGTACTTTTCCATCAGTACTACAGTGGCCCATTCTGATTATGCTATGTAGTAAATAGCTTGATGCTATAATTCAGAACCATTCATAGTGAGTATTCTCTTACCATTTTTCAGGGACAGTGAACTGTGGTGCCTTAACAGTGACAGGATTTCCTGCTACCAGCTGCAGTGTAGTGAAGTGTACGCCAACATATTCTCAGAACTGTAACGGGAAGCTATAAAACTGCTTATGAGTGAGCTGTGAAGATACTGCTACCACAGATAAGCGTTTGAGGAAGTTAGTGGGCTCTGTGTGAGACGTAAACAGGCATAGTTGGAGAAACTGGGACTGAAAGGCCTCTAAGCTTGTAATCATTGCAGCTGTAAGACTAGTAGCTGAGAGATTTCAGCGGTATGCAGTAATAATCTTTTTTCACTGATATTTAGACTGGTTCTGTTGTGTAGATAATGATGAAAAATTGCTATAATGTTATGTCCACACAGTGGCTATAATTTCAATATTTTGTTTAATGCATTACACGTAGAGGCTGGACAAAATAATGGAAACACCACATAAAATTGACTGACTTTGAAGTAATTAAATGAAAATTATACCTAGTCGGTTGAGTCATATTACATTGAATGACAGTTATCAATTGGCTGTTGATAAGTGAACTTTCAAAGTTGGCAGTTCCCTGAACAGTAAGTATCTTAGTTTTAAAAACTGGTTATTTGATGTCATTCATATGAGGGCTTTTTACTAGGCGTGTGCTATAGTGCAAACACTGTAACTAGGGATTATGGTGTCAAGACATCTAATGATGATCAAGGCATTTTGGAGCCCAGTATCTGGGGGCTGGGAGCTCCAGCAGTATAGTGACCCTAAGGATCCCAGGAATGCCAGGACAGGAATCTTTGGACGGCTCTGGAGTGGCCAGTGGAGAGTCCCGGTGTGGATCCTGCAGTGGTGGGAAAACTAATGATTATGAGAAGAGTTTAGAGGTGGATATTAAGCTAACTACTAATAATTTAATTCAAGCTCAGTTTATTTCTGAGGCACATTTCACACAACTGCAATTGAAACGAAGTGCTGTATAATCAAAATAGTAAAAACACAAACACTTAAAGACACCAAAGATGATAGAGAGCTCCTATACTGAGTTAAAAGCCAAATAATAAAAATGAGTTTTTACTTGAACTTTAAATGTGGAAAGTGTTGGTGCCTGAGGAATATGCAGGGACAGCTCATTCCACCGCTTTGGAGCTGCAGCTATAAACACCTGATTTCCACTTTGCTTTAGCCTGGATTTCCGAACCACAAGGAAATATCAAGCAGATCTTAATATCTTGAACTCTATCCTATAGCGCATTGGAAGCCAGTGCAGAGAGGCAGGTATAGGAGAAATACGATCACACTTACATCACCAACTGCATCACCAGCTGCATCACTGCATGGTACGGCAGCATTACAGCCTGCAGAGAGTGGTGAAGACTGCGGAGAAGATCATCAGGACTCCGCTGCCCTCTTTGCAGAGCAGCTACCACCGCAGAGTCCAGAGGAGAGCTGCCTTCATCCTCAAAGACCCCACACACCCCCAACACGGACTGTTCACACTTCTGCCCTCAGGACGGAGGTACAGAAGTGTGAAATTTAGAACCTCCTGACTTAACAACTCCTTCTTCCCCACTGCCGTCAGACTCCTTAACAGCAGACAGAAGTATGATCAATGGACATCATACTACCATACTACCATACTACCTCATACTGTAATTTTTTGCCATTACGCTCTTTTGCACATTATACTTAAAAGTATTTAATTTTCTATTTTTTCTGTTATATTGTACCTCGCCATTTTTGTGTGGACAGCAAAGTAAGAATTTCATTGCGCAGAGAAATGCACTTTTCTACTGTACATATGACAATTAACACTTTGAATCTTGAATCTTGAATGATCCTGTTAGTAGCTGAGCTGCTGCATTTTGGACCAGTTGTAGGTGTGCAATGGAGGCCTGGCTGACACCTGTATAAAGGGAATTGGTGTAGACAAACCGGGAAGAAATAAATGCATGTATGACCTTATCAAAGTCGCCAAAGGACAACAAGGGCTTGACCTTTGATAAAACTGGAAAAAAACTTTTTGACAACAGAATTCATTTGTTTATCTAGCTTAGAATCACTGTCCATTATCACCCCTAGATTTTTTACAGAGGGTCTAATGGACGGTTCCAGAGGACCCAGGTCCATATTGTCAATATTATGTGTACTAGGTGCAAAAACCAAGACCTCAGTTTAATTGTCATTTAAATTTAAAACATTTAAAGCCACTAATCTTTTAACATCACCAAGGCAGTCCAGTAATGATTTTAACATATTAATGTTCTTCCGTTTTAATGGCAAGTAGATCTGGGTGTCGTCTGCATAACAGTGAAATGAAATTCTGTTTGTACTAAATTTGAATCTTAAAGGGAAGAAAGAAACAGAGAGAAAAGGATACAGTAGCTGTTAAAATGGAGTCTTGAGGAACTCCACACGAGAGAGGTGCTGACGAGGAGACAAAACCACCTCTGCTGTCAGATAAGAAGGATCTAAAGCACTCTAAGGTCATTCCTTTTATACCCGCAACATGCTCCAAACGAGGAATTCAAACATTGTCAAATGTAGCAGTAAGATCTAAAAGGATGAGTACAGCCTAATCCCCGCCATCTTTGGCCAATAACAAATCACTAAAAACCTTTAAAAGTGCAGACTGCTGTGAAGTGGCTCGAGAAAGCCGTGCCTGTACAACAGCAATTGCAGCTAAATGCAACCTTCTCTAAGATTTTTTGAAGAAAAGGGAGACTTGAAAATATGTTTATAATTGGAAAGAACTGAGGTATCCAGATTGGATTTTTAAATAAGCAGCTGCACTATTGGCTGTAAAAATTGTCTTGGTACAATAAGACATGCTGCTATTTATAATGGTTTGAATAAATGGTGGCCCTGCGGTGTGTTGGCGCCAACCCAGGGTTGGTCTCCGTCTGCGCCTGTTGTTCCCAGGATAGCCTCCGGCCCCCCCCGCAACCCCAGTTGGGATTAAGTGGTTACGATAATGGATGGATGGCTAAATGGTGGGCTGACATAGTGGTGCAGTGATTAGCACTGTTGCCTCTCACTTCTGGGACCAGGGTTTGAGTCTCTGTCATGGTTTCGGGTGTGTAGAGTTTGTATCTTCCCCTTGTGTCATCATGGGGTTTCCCCAGGGACTCCAGCTTCCCTCCAGAGTCTAAAATCATGGTGAGGCTAGTTAAAGTTGCTCAAATTTCCCATTGGTGTGAGAGTGTCCTGCAGTGGGTTGGTGCCCCATCCTGCCTTGTACCCATAGGCTCCGGATCCCCCCCAGGACCCTGAATAGAACAAGTGGTATCAAAAAATGGATGGGTGGATGAATAAGTGCTCCAAGTGTATCAACAAAATCTTTAAAGAGACAAGGAGGGACAGAATCAATGGGACCTGTTGATAATTTCATCTGCCCAATGATTTCCTTAAGCGGGATAAAAGACAGGTTAAGAGCAAGTGACAGTAATAGATGGGTTATGAGAGGGTGGGAAGGTACAAGCTTTTGTTTTTGCTCTCTTTTCCACAAAAAGAAACATGTCAAAATTTCTCACAGATATCTAAGGAGACATCAAGGCAAACGGGTTCATGGGTAGTGATGACTTTGTCAATAGCAGAAAAAAGAACAGCGGGCTTCTTGGAATTTTTTCCAAGAGTAGTTAAGTGGTATTTTACCTTTTCAACTCTAACGGTACTTTGATAATTGTACCACTTAGACTTCTTTGACGTTCTAAACATTTTTAGCTTACATTTTTGTGCAACGAAAGCTATAAATGAGAAGGTCGTGGTATTTCTGTTTTTCTTTATTTTACAAATGATTATGAGGAAATCGCCGCTGTCTTTGCACCTTCAGCTTTTTTGGTGTTCTTGGTCCACACGCCGTGTTTGTTTTGCTCTGGCTGGGCAGCATCATGTTACATATGTGGCGGTTTACTGCATCAGGATGTGTTTAACTTTATGCTTGTGCACTTGCAGAAAATGAGTATTTATTATTGTGTAGTAGTTGTGTAGCATTTCTAGTGTAAGGTTCTAAGCAGTGTTTGGTATTACTATCCAGCAGCAATTAAACATGAATTGGCTCCTTGACAGATGTATACTTGTAGTGTAATCTGCTTACTTGTATATCGCTTAAAACAAAAGCTTCTGACAAATAAATGAATGTAAATCAAAATGGGAATCAAATTTCCCATAGACTGAAATTTACAGCAGGTTAATGCAGACAAACTTTAGGGGTAAAATATGTCAAGGGATATTTTATTTCATTAATTCATTTATTTATTATTTTAATATACATAAACAAATTGACAAAGAATAAGAAAAAAATCTGTAAATCCCTTTTACAAGCTCCTGCTAATCACAGACATGAGCAATATACTCAGCATGAACCATAATGCATTCCGTCTCTGTGAAGAATAATTGCTGAAAAAGCAAATTAACAGTAATCAAAATACTTTGAAAATATATCAATACGTATCAAGATATGTCACAGAGAGGAGAGGCTGACCATGATCACAGAAAGCATCTGAACAACAGAGGGTGATGTACACAAGTCATATCCAGGTGTCTGTTTGCTTTTCAAAGACTCAGATACAACCTTATGCCTCTTCTTTTTTTCTAAAATGTCAAAGTCTCCTTCCCTCGAAATACACGCTTCTGTGTGATTATAATCTAAAGTGCACATCACCGACTTATTTTTGGTGAACATCGATGGGAGTGATGATCAGTGGTGATGTGTTTTTGCCGTCATCATTGAGGCCCGGTCGCAGGAGAGGATGTAGCTCTTCGGTGAAATTATATCCAGAGAAAGAGAAGATGTGAGTCCTGCTGTCCACACTGTAAAAGGAGACCTGACCCCTCCCATAATCTACATACACCCCCACCTTCTGGGGCGTCTCCTTCAAGGAAAGAAGGACAGGGGACTCACTGTTAGCCTTGTACATCCCATCTTTCAGAATTATGGTCCAGAATCCAGCGTCAGGTCGAATAAGTAAAGTTCCCTTTCTTGAGACTGTCCTCTTCGCCACCCCTAGAGTCCAGTCGGTCTTATGTTTCACTTCAACCTCCCAGTAATGCCTGCCGGAAGAGAAGCTCTCCTTTCCAAGGACATTGACGACATGGTCAAACCTCAATGAGTTCTCAGGAAATGTCTGCCGATTCTCCCCAAGTCTCACTGATTTCCAGTCCCCAGAGATGATGAGTTTAGGATGAGCTGTACTGGGATCAAGATGCACGTTGACTGTGGACATGAAAAGATAATAATTTTATTTCTTGCTCAAGAAATCTTGTATTCATACTATATTTATTTGTTTTACTTATAAGGAAAATATAAATCAGCATTAAACTGATACCTATCTTGACATTAAAACCAGACTGCCAGAAAGTCACCTTTGAAACAATGCCTTTCAAAAGGAGAGTGATCAGTTTTATTGCAAAGCATTTCTGAATCCAGGACCACAGAAAGATATCAAAACAAACTCTACCTGCTGCTTGACGAATCCAGCTCCACACTAAAAATGATAATGCATTTGATTACTTTCAAGATATAGTGCAAAATCTAAATAACCAATGGATAATAAAATATATAAAGTTACCTGGTTTAATGATGATGCCTGTCCTCACTACAAAAAAGCAAAATATTTTTATTTCTAAATTCTAAATGTTCAATTCTAAATGAATTTCATATAAAGCACAAAACTGAGTGGTATTTCAGCACAAGTTCCAAGCAAACATAAATAAATCCCACTCACTTGATATTTCTGACATCTTATCTAAAAAGAAAGCAAAGATTTCATGTATGGATTTCACAGAAATAGAAGATTTTAGCTCATCATCACCATCATCATAATCCAAAGAACCTTGCTTACAGACTGATTCATCCATGTAATAGAATAGTTATTAAGTTACACTAAAAACCTACATGAAACTTCCACTTTGGGTTCCACACCAATACCACAATACCTACTGCTAGCTACACTTGGCTTTATTCAATGAGTTCACATTCATAATCTCTTGCATGTTGCACGCAACTGTGTTTTTTCACTATCACTTTTTTTCACAATACCTAATTATCAGTGATGGCCAAAATGACACTTCATGAAACATTTGCTGTATTTTCTGACCCCATTAGATGGTGGGGACTAGTGGGGTCAAAAATACCACAAATGGTTCACTTGGCATTGTTTTGGTCATTACTACTAATTATTAAGTTCATTCTGTCTGTGTACTGTGTGCTAATACTACTAAATAACATCAGTGTTGGTTTATACCGTTTTTATTTAATGTTAACACTGATAACTGGTGCTGTTAACACATACCCATCATGCCCCACTGTGAGTCAGGACACACTTACTTGCATGGCAGGTTTCATTGGCAGCACACATTAGCACAGAGGAGCAAAAGTCTTCCACGGCACGTAGCTCCCCCTGTAGGCCTGTCCCAGAAATGTAAAACATTACATTTACTTATTGATGCTTTTATCCAAAGCAATATACTCATAACAAATCAAGATCAGACAGCTCCTGGAACAGCTGGGGATTAAGGGTCTTGCTCAAGGGCCCAACAGTGAGATCACCCTGCCAACCATACGATTTGAACTTCATCTTTCAATCACAGGCACAGCATCCCAACCCACTGTGCTACACTCTGGTCCCATCATTAGGTCATCATTCAAATCATTCATGCCTGAGAATGTCACCATGCTGGTTAAAGTGAACACCTCCCTTATTGGCATTGTTAGATGTGGTAATAGTCTCATTTATCATGTATAAAGGTCTGGCAACAGATCAGATATTTCATCATGAAACAAGGTCCCAGTTCTAACAGTTTGCAGCCTGTGGATTAATGTGAGGCATATATAGAGATGAATTCTTACCAGAGATTATCTTGGTGTTAAGCCCAAGTTTCACCTCATCTTCACTTTTCTGTTGAGCTGAAAAAAATGGCACAGTTAAGTAGAGAAAATGAACGATGTGATCTGGATGAAGAAGGAAGGAGGAAAGCACTTTGCTTATAGTCCCAGTCCTGGTTATACTCTTATGGCCATGGTCACAGTCCCACAGTCACAGTTCCCGTCCCAGTCATAATACCAGTCACAGATCCAGTTAGATCCCAACAGTAATGGCCCCTGTCACAGTTCCAGTCCCATGGTCACAGTTCCTGTCCCAGTAGTTCCAGAACCGATCACGGTTTTACAGTTTCATTCACCGTTCTTCCAGCACAACTCAAAACAGACACCAATGGTCAGTCTATTAGGAAATGTTTCATTATAAATATACTTCCTAAAAAACTGAAAAAGAAATGCTAAAATGCAAGAAGTTGCAGAGAGAGCATCCCTTCTCAGCCCAATGGTTTGTGGTTAAGGATCTGTCACCAGGGAATGGTTTGACCTTGTCCATGTACCCAGTAAAACTTAGGAAACAACGATAGCTAATCAAAGACACAATGCAGCATAAAGCTTATAATATTCAATATAATCCTTATAATGCAACATAGGACAGACTGTTTCCACGAGTACAGGAACACACCAAGAACCCCGAACCTACTGGGTATATTAATAAGCAGAAAGGCATTCAGATAGGTGGAGTATCAGAGACTACTTATTCTGCCAACTAAAGCATTTTTCAATGCTGGGGTACAAAAAATGAATTGAAAATTGAACGCTGATGACAAACATCTGCCTTTGATATTTCATCTTATATAAGAGCCTTATGGCCAAAGGCGTAAATGCAAATTTTCAGCAGGACTGTGAGGTTCTATTTGAATAATTTCGAATTTGGTGATCAGTGGCCATTGTTGACACACCACAGCACACAACAAAATGTGTACTCCACATTTAACCCATACGTGACATAGCAGGGGGCAGCTAACTCACTAACTCAACAAGCAGTGCTTAGGGACAGTACCTTGCTCAGAGTACCTCAGTGATAGTTTACTGGTCAGGGTTTCAACGCTGCAATCTTTCAATTACAAGTGCGCTTCCATAACCATTAAGCCACCACTACCCATTATGAATAAGAACTTACAAAGAAAAATTAGTCCAGTGATACAAGCAATCAGGCAGATGGTCCACAGAGAGAAGAAAACAAGTGATATTTTTTTGTACAAAGATTCTTTCCCAGCAGTCCTCTTGGAACCTAAGAAGAATGAGATGCCTGATTAGAAGAAGGAAATGTATGCATTGACACTATTAGTATTAAGTAATTTAATTTTAGGGCATGTACAAGGGCTTACAATTTTAGAGCCAATTAATATGAAATGTTAAAAGAAGTTATATGTATAGAGAACCTTCATGGCTGAACACCCAAACATCCTGCTTCAAAATGAGCACTGAACAAACATCAGCGAGCTGCTACATAGGGTAAGACTCAGGTCTAATAATGTTACTGCCTTAATTAGGTATTCTGTACCATGTGACCAGTTCACAGGACTATGCATGGCAACATAGGTTCCAGGTGACACTGACTCCAGACACGCATAAGGGTTCTCCAGCTGCATTTCTTCAGTCCATTTGAGCCGTGCAGTTGTTGGAACATGGAAAGACAGAATCACATGCATGGTAAACTGAGTCTGACCACATCTCCCTTATAGGTACCTAAGCAGCAATACTGAGGCAAGCCTGTTCATCCATTTCCTTCATACTGTCCTAGACAAGTCCCCTTAAAAATGCTAAACTACTAAATAAGTGAGTGAATTAAAAGCAGAGCAGACTCAGCCCCACCCTAAGGTTACCTTTATCATAATCTGCTGTTTGGACTGGAGGCAGTGGGAGGTGGTGATGCAGGTCTGAACCTACACTCAGTGAATCTCAGAGAGAAAAAATAAGACAAGTAAGAGTAAGAGTAGATAAAGTATAACAGATATTTGGTAACATTTTACTTGACAAGACACACATAATATAGTATTATGCTATTACTTATGTATTAATTAATCACAAAGTCTAGTTACATACTGATCATCACTAATGAATTGTGGCACGTTTTATTTCAAGCAGTTACTATATTTGTTAGTTCTGTAAACCTTTGTTAACTGCTGAAGGAACTACTAGGGAACTACTAAGGAACTACTGAAGGAACAAGTAATGAATAACACATGAAATGCTCATGTTTGTTCACCATTAATGAATTGTGACATCTCAAGTACCGATCATGATTTGCACTTCAATTGTTACTGAGTTATTACTAAGTATTCATGCCCTGTCGAGTAAATTGTTACAGAATATTTAAATATCCACATTTTCATTCATTCATAATTGTTTATCCAGTACAGTGTCACGGTGAAACCAAAGTCTATCACAGGAAGCAGAGGGCACAAAGCAGGGAACACCCAAGGCAGGAGCAAAATACAGCAAAATCCTTATAAGAAAATAACTTACAGTTTTTTCCAATCATTTTCACACTTGTCTCAATACCATGTCCACTTTTTCAAAACACTTAACACAGTGGGCTGTACCAATACACAACTGAGCACACCACTTAACCTTTGGTGCAAAATGCCCTACAACCACCAAAACGTTTCACAATTCACCAAAAAGTGACTCATGCTGCCATAACCATGACAAATGCTGTCAGCCA